TAGAATCGGAGAGATCAACCCTTTCGGTGCAGGACCCTAGAATCGGAGAGATCAACCCTATCAGCTAAAACGACGTAGGTATTCCCGTCTCGTCTTTCCTCCTCCTCCGCCCTCCATAATCGTCCGTCGATCGCCCGAGCAGGGAACAAGAATCAAGAATCAATTTTTTTTTATTCTTGATTATGTTCCAAAACTATTCCTAGGAACAAATTTGTTCCCGGAAACAAAAAATTTACCAAACGAATTTTTGTTTTTTTTTTTATTCCCAGGAATAAAAAAAAAGAATCAAGTACTGTTTAGCCATTTACCGGGCCTTAAATCTCCCGACAGGAATCTGACTAAGCATAGAAGCAGAATAGACTTATCATGCACCATATCACGAGGTTCCAAGTAAAAACATCCTGGAGTCTCTTGGCCTCGCCGCCGCAGTCCTTGATCGATAAGAAGGATGCAATTAGGGTTTATTAGCTCCTAAGGGAACGCATGGTTTCTTGAAAATGATCTTTGACTTTAGTTTGATATCTGCCAAGTTTGAATAATTGTGGGTCACAGAGAGGTCCATGGAAGTTGCGGTCATTGACTAGTAAAAAGGATAGGGACGGAGGATGTAGGCCCCGTTTGATTCAGCTTTGAGAATAGGCTTTTTTAGCCTCGAAAGCCTCTTCCCAAAATGCTGAATCGTTTGGTTCAATATTCGGCCTAGCATTGGCCAAATGCTAGCATTTGGAATGCTGAACCAAAATTTTTTATCCCCAAACTACCCTTACTTATTTTGGCTTATTTCGGTTTTGCCCTTCTTGATACTGTTCATCTTCTTTGTGAGGTGGCCGGCGAGGGAGGCTGACATCGAATCGGGCCGGCGAGGTCGTGCGACCCAAGCGGCTGGCGCCCGGGTCGCGCGACCCTCGGAGAGGGTCGCCTGGCCTCGGGCGACAATTGCCGGTGGTAGATCTAGCTCGGCGGTGGTCGCCCGACCTTGGGCGACGGCCGCCAGCGTCAGATCTAGCTCACCGGCGGCCGTAGGCCCTCGCCGGCGGCCGTAGGCCCTCGCCGGCGGCCGTAGGCCTTCGTCTGCTCCAGCGAAAGGTATGATAGGTTTTTTTTAATAAAAAAAGATAATTCTCAAAATCCTTTGGCAAAAAAAAATTTACCAAACACTACTTGGGTCAAAGTAGCTTTACAAATGATTTTTTATCAAACGCCACTTGCATTTTCCCAAGGGACTTTAGTCTAAAGGTATTTGCATTCCCCCGAGTAGCATTTTAAAAGTTGAATCAAACGGGTCCGTAGTCCAGCGAAAAAGATGATTACATCATTTAGGCGATCGAGTATTATAATATATCAGTGCTTTCAACCAGGAAGTATTCTCTTTGACTTTTTGGGCTATCATTCAAGCGTAGGACTAAATTCTTCGGCGGTTCGAAGTCAAAATGCTAGAATTCATCTATAATAAATAATGCTACGAAGAAGTTCGAGACAATAGTTCGAATTATTCCTCTGATTGGATTTGAAATATTATAACAAGAAAAAAAGGTATGTTATTGCTACAAATGTAATTCTTTTTTGATGTGCAATGCGATCAACATAGGTATATTTTTACTTGAGCGCAATTTATCTCAACTGATCGTATTCATGATAGATTGATTTTATGCTAGTTTTTACTTGAAAATATTTGGAACCGAAAACGGGTATATTTTCTCGATGTATGAATTTCATAAAAAAATCACGTCGAACACTTAACGGTGACTAAGAGGAGCGGTGGGCCCTCATCAGCCCACTTGCTGCTATAAAGTTTACATGAAATACAAACGCGTATACGTATCTTTTCGGCCGTATGCATTTGATTTTTATCGCTAGTTCTGTGGATTGAGCAATTTAGTTGTAGTAGATAATTAGTCCATAAATCGGATCACATTCGAAGATCCGTTTGTTTTCTCTTTGGCTTCTTTTCAAGTACATTTATCAAAGTTCGCAGACTATTCTCAAAACCCAATTTATTTTGGCTGAAAAAAAGAGAGAGGAATGAATGCAACAACAAACAAAAGCGAACAAAGAAAGAGCAAAAGATTCATAGTATGGGCCTGAGAGTTGCAAGTCATCCATGGCCCAAATGGGAATGGACGCTCGTAGAAAGACGAGTCTACCCCTATCTAGCCCCGTAATTTGCGACATCGACACTGACTCACAGAAAAACCCTACTATCGCATGAACCTCGGTGACCCTCGTCACGCGACCCTCACGCGACCTAAGGCCATGGGCGGCCGACCCTCACGCGACCCCGGGGAAACGCGACGGCGGCGGCGTTCCCGGGCCTCCTCCGCAAAACTTCCCAGCTCCGTCTCTGTCCAAGCAGGGGTAAAAACAAGAATACCGATATATTGAGGGCAAGATTCGAAGATGGAAAATTAATTAAACTACGAAGTAGCATTTCGAAAGTTCTATAAGATCGAAGCCGAGTGAGAGTTGCCTTAAACTTTGAGCATTTAAAGTTTAATGTTGTACCAAAGACCTTGAAATTATGTTACTAAATACCAAAATTTTGGTTTAATGGCCTTTGGAGCTCCAAAGCTCTTTGAAAATAATGCGCCAAATGCGGTAGCCAAACTGACACTAGATGGAAAGCTCATGGTTCTCCTTCTCTAAAACTAAAATGCGCATCTCCTTTGATTTCTTTGTTCCTTTGTTCCACCGTTAATCTAGTTGGATTAAACCTCGAGCAAAAATTCTTGCTTCCTTCGCCATATTTTTTAATCTTACGTCGAAAATAGAACGAAATAATCTGTTTCTCGTTAGATCATTATAATAAAATCTGCGACAGATGGCTTATTATCCGATTTATTTAATTAAATCAAGAAAAATCTCCATTATTGAATATTCACTTGGGGAAATGCGCTAATTAAACCACATCGTCAATTTTTTTCCTTGATTATGCAGTCATTCATTCCATTCCATGCAAGCAGATTTGGGGAAATGCCTTGAGGTCTTATGATATCCAACCAATCTAGCATTTAAAAACAATCATTTATGAACTTGTCCATGAGTCCTAGACCTTAGTCAACTTTTTTTACCCCTAACATCCAATCAAATATTTATATCTTCTAGCGTAATTTTTTTTTCTGTAAACCTAGACAAATTACTTGTTTATGTTTTGTTGTTGTCCCGTAGACGTGATGATTTGCGCGATGTTGGAGACTTTATCCCAAACTTTGCATGCCTGATTTTTTGAGAGGTGATAACTCGGGAGCTCGATCGATCCCTCATAAATACAAGGTAATTTAGGATGTGATGAGATGATAATATTAGATGGTGCATCCACGTGATGTCGCTTGTTCGATCTAAATGTTTTTATTTTCAGAAAAATCAATTTATTGTCATCATTGGTGGAGTGGCCCACGACTTTGTGCCTTTTCACCCAACGGGGCTTAAAAGTCAACATAACTTTGGGAGCTCAAACAAAAAGCAATTCTTTACCATGAATGTTTTAGTAAGATCCATAACTTACGAAAAAAGTTATACCGGATTTGAGTACTGCTATGAATGCTATACATAAGTAGATATTGTCACTCGCAGTTTCAAACCAAAAGATTACATTTGAAGATAATCGCAAAATTCTTACACGTTATTATTAATGATGGGTTTGTAGAGCACAAACTCCAGTTTGAATTATTATTTAACTATCGTAATATAATATTCATCATGTAATAAGAAAAAAAAGCCACGTTACATTGAGGAGTCAAAAACCTGAACGAGTGAATTGTTAGAATTTTTTCTTGCGATTTACTAAATTATGGATTTACCTAATTTCAGGTATATTATCGAGAACGGCTGATTCACAACCCGAGGCTGTCGTATTCTCATCATTTTATCCCGTTAATATCTTTCAACGAACCAAAATAATTTCAGGAAGAGAGGAGATAAAAGCCCAAAGTAAGAAGAAGAAATTAGGGGTAAAGAATCCCATAAATAGTTTCTAAAACTTTCATTACAATAATATATCTCTAATTTGAGGTTAGTTTGTTGAAAAACTAAGATAAAGGTGGATATGCTTGGTCGGTTCCAAATAAATTCTAATCCCATAAAAAAATTTAAATATTTTCAATAGATAAAATGAGATCATTAGAATATACTTAAAATTTGATAAGAGTTAGTTACTTGAAAAATTAGGAGAAAGGGAGATCTATGCCTGCTCCAAATAAATTGCAATGATTCATACAAAATAATAATCTAAATAATCTAATTCCCATTAATTTTTCTCATGCCAATATCAAATGTTTTGCGGTACAACCTTATTAACCGCTTATCACCTTTCTAGTAAATTCTTAAGGTTAAGATTAGGCTACCATAAATCAGTTAGTAACTTGTAAACACGGTTAGCCATTCCGTGTATAATAAAGTAAATTTCCCTTTTCTTCATATTGGAAAATTATTATCTCCGTTGCAAAAGTAAATTCCGTTATGTCAATGACTAGTGATTTGGTCGTATTCCAATTATTCATCTAGGTTTAAAGGTAAATTAAAAACTATCAGCAATTTTGTTTATAACTATTACATATGACTTCAGTAACTTGTAGACAAGGTCAGAACTATACTTGAAAAGTTGAGTACAAGCAAGTTAAATTACCAATGAGTTTTCTAGGGGTTTGGTAATTCCCCAAATCAAAAATTAATTTTCAAGAATTCGAGCAACTTTTCATTTAATTTTAACTCATCGAAAACAAGTACAGCTATTCGTGCCCATGCTCTTGAATTCGTGAAATGGATTAGCTGAAAGCGGTTGGATGGATCGCGGTTGCATCTTATTTGATACTATCATCTTCGAAATCCAACGGTGGATATGGCTTCGATCCGACCTCTAATGCCTTAAAAAAGGAGGTCGCATTCCGTCTGAAGTTATGTTACACTTTACAAGTTTACATCCACTGAAAAAATCAATTTCTGAAACGAAAGATATTTAAATTTATGGCTCTCTCGCGAGTTCTCGCAACACTACAATCTGCACAGTCTTTCGGATGCACAAATGTTCCAACCAACATCGCAAAGCTGAAGGATTTCTCTCAAGGTTAGTAAACTATTTTCTTACCCATTCCTCCGTTGTTGTTCCGATGATTCTGCCACTGTTTTGAAACGGGTTATTTCGTTAGGATCGATTCCGTTGATCAAAAGAAAGAAATTTATCTCGCAGTTTCTTGACCGTTGCTTTTGCTGTAAGCGATTGATTAACTCTTCGATCATTTTCATGATGGGGGAGTCGATCGATGTCTGGAGAGAATTCTTCAGAACGACGGGCACCGATGTCTTCGAGTTCATCGACAAGGCGATCACGATCGCCGCACTCGATTGGCCCGAAGATTTTCCGTTACGAAGAGGCCGTATCGCGGAGCGGCTGCTCTCACGAGAGACGACTCGGGAGGGAGGTGATTGTGCAGCCTCGAGTAGAGAAAGCAAGGCAAACAGAGGCCAGGGTAATGCTGCGAGCAATGCGGTGAGCATAGAATACCGCCATGGAGAAGCTGAGGCATTCAGCGGTCATATCAAAGATACCTCTCAAGTTGTTTGTGAAGTTCTGAGGATCAAGCAGGTTTTGGACAATAGCCGACATGAGGTCAATGTCCTAACTCTGAATTTGGTCCATCAATGGCTTATTTCTGATTCTTGTCCGTTCTTTACCCATTGTTTTCGAATCTAAATGGTTTTCGGAGATAAATGTGTGGATGCACTATTAAAAGTCGCTTCTAGTCCTTTTCCTGTGGAGTGCATGCAATCTAACTTAGTATCGTTTCTTGGTATGACAGTCTGATTCCGTGCTACTTGAATCATTGAGAAGACTTCGGTCCATGACTATCACTTTGGATACATTGAAGGTTTGATTGATATTCTATAGCGAGCGGTATATGCTTTTTGCATCAATAGTTAGTATTTTACTAATTTAATTTCTCTGATTTGTCGCAGAAAACTAAGATCGGAATAAGCGTCAACAATCTCCGAAGGAATCGTGGATCAAACCAGATTGCGCAACTTGCCCACGACATTACTATGTACGGAGTGAAAGGCATTCTTTTTGCATAGTGTCTGGTTTATGGTACAAAATAAGGCCATTTCACGGAATTTTTCTGTCCAATTTGGTCCCGCAAGAGCACGATCGGCTGTACTCACTGCTCGATTCTTTTCGTCGCAGGGGATGGAAGGCTATGGTCAAAGAGATTTACCGTGGCACAGAGGATGTTGCTGGTATTAATTTACTGCACATTCTCGTTCTTTGAGTCCCCACGTGCTGAGTTCTTCTTAACCGTGTGCTTGACTTCTTTTATAGGTCCTTGCAACATCAGAGACGGAACAACATCTTCCGTCAAGAACCAGAAGAACATCAGGAAACCAGGACAAGAACAATACGACTTCAACCAGGCCGGTTCACTTGCTAACAGGAACCGGAGGCAAAAACTGAAGCGGCGCCAGTGCGTTGTGAAGCCCAATACGTCCACAAACGCTAACTCAAGGACAATCCCCCCAAGCGAGATTGCGTCATGGAAGTTTGAGAAGGAGAGAATGCTTCAGTTGCAAAACTCAAATGGATCAGTCGCGGGGGGCAAAAGACCACTTGCGTGTCAACGGGACGTAAGTAGAATAACAAATTTAATTTCCAAGTACCCTTGCAACCAAAATAACTGACTTGTTCATTTGGTTCAATCAGAAGATCAAATCCTCCAACAAAGTTGTAGCGGAGATGAACCATGAAGCCACCAGGAGGAAGAGGCGTCGGATAGTACAGGTATTGGATCTATGTGATCACCCCAAGATGGCAGCGAGTCGTAAGGCTCCGTGAGCAACAACTAGAAAAGCTCATCGGCAGAGGGAGATTTCGCAGAGCCTGGTTTCATCCATTTGAAGTCCAAAATTCCAGAGCTGACAATTTTGCACCGAGAGACCGATGTTACTGGACTGGTGATCGAGCAAGTGTTCTATAGTTCTCTTCTTAGTTGAACACAATTAAGACCACTGGGAGTTAATCATTAGAGTCGTATTCTAGGAGGTGATGATGATGTATTTTCTACCAGAAATTGTATCTAGCAACCTGTAATCAAAACCGTAATTTCTGTGCATTAAGATGCAAGTTTGTTTTTACTGCTTGGGCGTCTCACGTTCTCCTACTACAAATTGCTTCTGTGGCCATAAGAAATGGATCACTAACGAATTGGATGTGCTTTGTGTCTGTAGAATTTAGCTCGTTAAATTCGATTATAACACAGGAGACCACCACTTTCTCTGAATGAAGTTAGAATGAGTTTGGCTTGTAAGTTAGGAGTGGTTTTATCACCGAAGGAGATATGTAGCAAGCAACTGAAATTAACAAAAGAAAAAAAAATGGTCTTCCTGAGCTAGGAGAAAAAGCAACAGAGGATGTCACAAAGACGAGTACAAACAGTTGTTGCAGATGAACATGACACCCTGGCATGAAATGTTGTTGTCTGCAGCATAAAAGAAAAGGACAACACATCTGGAAACAACATCAAGGTTAAAAGATATCACCAACAGATATTAGCAAGTGCTTTTCCGAAAGTCGAGGTTAGGATCAACCGTTCCAATCATCCCCTGATACTATGCCGACACATAATGCAACAACAAGCACTCGTGCATCAATGACGAGCCAGTTCCTCCACCGACAGAGAGGCATACTTGGAAACCTTCATAAAAAAGACCACGCAAAAGTTATGGCATCTCCGCACAGGAGTTGTTCCTGTAACTTGAAGTCCCCTAGCTACATCAGTCATGCACCAACTAAAAGAAAGGAAATCAACACACCAAACAGAGCAGAGGACAGTAAAATAAAATTATTCCCGGGAAAAAAGGTGCATGCAAATGTAACATTACGTGATCCATAAGATTAGCTATGATGTTTCTTAAACGTTTATTAGCTACAGATGAAAGTTTATCAACCCATCCTTACTGGAGCCTACCAACCTAGAACAGATGATTAAGTACAATCAATCTTTACCTTGAAGACAGTCGCAGTTCTCAGCCTCCTTCTCACAACATCAGGAACTGCTTTAATAAGCTCAGTGCCTTCACTATAGTGTCCCTTTGCCCAGTTATTACCAGCAGCAGATTGCCCAAATACAAAGTCATCAGGCCTGAAGGGACCAGTTCGAACGCTGTCCATGGTGCCTGGTTCAAGATCCATCAGCACAGCTCGAGGAACAAATCTACCACAAGATGCCTCAATTGTAGTATACATTGACACGCTCAAGCTGCAGCCTGCAGATCAGATGTCTCAGTTCACCGACCCGTCGGATACCATGTTCGTCACAGATGACTTCCCCAAATTTGGATCCAGTCTGGTTACCACATTGTCCGCCTTGAACATGAAGGATCTCTCATCTTTCCTGCATTCACTACAAACCAAAATTGGTATCAACCGCATACGGTTATGACCAAATTCAAGTTCGTATTGTTTGTTATACCTAACTTTATGGAATGCAATTTAGACTATAGCCACCTAAGTCATCTGTCTTTCTCAAGCACAGCTGATCATAGAAATGACAAACAGAGCGACTGAGCTAGCAAGGTAGATCATGACTGTCTAGGCATCAGATCAAGCGACTCTCTTTCCCTGATAAAGAAAACGAAAGATACTGCCATATGACCAACTCCAACTCGAAAACAAGCCAGTTTACTCATTAAAAAAAACAACCTCGCTTCTTGCATCGCTGATTCTTGAAGATGCAACTAGCCTTGTCTAATAAATGAAAATGGACACCGAAGTATAAAGCATTAAAGGATTTCAGCATAACAAACATTGATCTGTGTTTTAAGCAGTTTCTGCAGTTAGATCAGAGCACGCATGAGCCGCAACTTCCACAGAGCATATGCAAAAACGAAATATCAAGCGAAGTTCTCAGTGATTGCCCGGGGAAAAGACCACAATCCATAACAATTCCAACCAGCCAAGATACACATGGATTTCGCAGCAGAAGCACACAGATTGAAAGCATTTCCAGCGACAGCATTTGAATCAAGCAAACTAACGCCTCATGAATTGCGACCGAAACTAAGAGATCTCCTCAATTCTCCAAAATGCGAGAGAAAAGGAACCATAATGAAAGAAGAAGTGATCTGTCCTTGCACTTTATTATTTGAAGTGGAATGTTTTTCAGTCGAGCAAACATGTTGATCTTTACACTAACCTTTTTGCTAAATTTCGATAGGAAGCTCGTGGGAGTATAACCATATAAATTTCCTTCATCGCAATTTAATCACGAGGGCTTTTTGCACTGTATTTCTAGTGTAAAAGTGCTCTTTCGTACAGAAATTGTCCCTCTAAACGCGAATTGTTAGGATCCTTATGTGTGACGCTCCATCCAACTTGATGTGTGATGACCATGAATTCAAGGAGTGTCCACTGGTGGAGAAGATACTTTTGCAATTCAAATGCATGCATATTTGAGATCATCGATCAAGCTATTACATTGGTAGTGGAAGATTACCCTAAGCGATTCAAATTCTTGCGGCCCGACATTGGGGAGAAACTCTACCTGTACCATTTATGTGGATGCTTGAGGCATAGCGACGATGAGCACCCTGATCTCGTAATGCACAATAACATGGTGGTGAACGGAATGTGCGACCCAACCTAAAAAATGAGTACGTTCCATTGAAATAGATCTAGAGCACGGCCTAAATGAAGGGACGTATCGAGAACCGAAACAGAACGATCACGCAAAAAATAGAGAAAATAGACGATGCACGAATTTACCCAGGTTCACCCTCGATTAGGGCTACGTCCCGCAAAGAGATTTCACTATGTTTTCGGCCATACCCACTCAACTCTACAATGATCGAAAACGAGCAAAATATATATATGCCCCAAACGGCTCAAAACCTAAACCTATACGAAATCTCTTAATCTCGCACTATATGGGCCACCCAAACCCGTTGAGGTTTCGGGCGCGCCTCGAGCCCCCGCTCGCTCACCGGCGAGCGAGGCAATGGAACCCTCGCCGGGGCGCCGCTCGAACCCCGCTCACGACCGGCAAAGGCATTTGCAGCCGTGTTGGGGCGCCGCCCCGAACCCCGCATTCCACACGCATGGGTCACATGTCGTCCAACAACACTTCAGTTTCCCTAAGCTCACGTGGGCGTACCTGGTGTGAGAAACAAGGGTCCCCGAAGTATTCGCCAACTCCAACACTAAATAACCATAGTGGTAGAAAAGGTGAGGACGAACATGCCGTGCTTGACACATTCGATGTCAGCAATCACAGCTACAAGGAAGCTAAGGTGTTCAAACGATGAAATGGACAAAGCGGATGAGACTCTCGAAGAGGTTCTCAGGATCTAGCAGATTATGATTAACAGTCAAAATGAGGTACAAATTTAACTGGGTTGTTGCTTCTCCCCTAAGACACCAGTCAGTTTGCTTCCTCTTATACTTTCTAGGGTTTCCGACCGTGCCGTAATTTCATTGGTGCAGTCTTGAACAGGAATCTGCGATGCACTGAGGAAGCTACAGCTCAAGACTAATATCCGTCGGAATCCATGAGGTTAGACTATAATCAATCTGCCTTTTTGAGCAGAAAAGTGGGGTTTTGATCGTTCTGCAGATCTCTAGGGTTTACATGGATGGATCACGGTTTGAAAAGTCGTTAAAGCTCGGCCACCCGCTTTTTCTCTGACCACCTTATATCTGTAGTTCAAACGTTAGCCGCCATGTCTGTGACAGTTGAATTGGTATGTTCGGCTTGCTTTTGCATTTAAGATGGTCCTTACTTTGTGATATGAGTACAGTATGTAAAATCTCTTTCGTGAAAAAGGTAAACTTCTGAACGGCTACACTCTCGAATTAAAAAAGGTAATTCGTCAATTAATTAATCATTAAACGCGTGCGCGTTTGCATTTTTTTTATTTATATGAATTTTGCTTTATGTATATGCTGGCGATAATATTAATTTTCTGATTTACCAAATCTGCTCGTACTTTGTAGAGTTTTATGCGTTGAGATTGTTAATAACTTTACCTTTTGGATAATTAGGATATAATCAAGTATCAACTATAACTCTGCACGACATGACCAAGCACATAAGCGGGTCTAGTGTACATATATGTATTATACATGCATATGCATACAAAATAAATGAAATTGCAAACAAAATTCCGTACATGCCCCCATACTATTTGAATCTGTGTCATAGCCTGGGAGAGAAATCCATTTACCTTTTAGTACTCTCTAAAAGTCATATATTTATTGCATGATTTATGTATGTATGGGCATTTGAGATTTTTCAATGGCATCGTTTGTTAAATCAAGGGATATGTCAATCAAAACCTTAAATCGATGAACCGTGAATTGAGGATCGAATTGAATCGTAACAGCATGAGGTGAAATACTTAAAATTTCTTAAATAATCAATGTATTTAATATATTTTAGTAAGAACCATGAGTTATAATAAAGATATCTCGGTTTTATGAGTACATGTTATGAATGTCATGCGTAAGTAGATATTGTCCCTCGCTGCTTTTTAAACCAAGAGATTCCATTTGAGGGCAATGATGAATTTTTATACGTTATTATTTTACGATGGGTTTGTAAAGCACAAAATCTAGCTGAAGTTATTATTTAACTATCAGAACATGATATTCATAATAAAATTCGAAAAAGAAAAGTCACATTATTTAATGGTAAACATATCGAATCAAAGATATTCACGAGTAGACATATATTTTCTTGCGATTCAATAAACCCTAGATTCACCTAATATTAGGTATATTGTTTAGATCAGAATCGAATTGGGAGAAATGGATCGAGAATCGATTGGTTCACAGCCCCAGGCGATCGTATTCTCGTTAATATCTTTCAACCAACCAAAAATATTTCAGAAAGATTAGGAGAAATTAAAGAGATTATATTTGTAGTGTCTACGGCTTACTTTTAGCTTTAGTTGTGTCGTTTGTTCAATGTTGTTCTGGAAACTATAAATTCTGAACTCTTGGTGTTTTTTCCTAAAAAAAAGTTGAAATAATGGAATCAAGTAAATCATTATAAAAATATCGAAATTTCTAAAATTTCTATTCACTGCATCATAATATCTCTAATTCGATGACAGTTAGTCTGTTGAAAAGTTAAGAT